GAGCCCCAGCCTCAGCCCGGGGCGGTGGGACTCTCTTGTGTCCGGAATCTTTCGGGAGAGCATCGCGGGTCACAGAATGCGCCTCCCGTCCCTCCCAGACCGACAGAAACGCCCACCCCACTTCTTGCCTCAAACGGCTTTTTTGGGGGGGGGGGAGGACAGGGGCAGCCCGGAGCCCGCCGGCGACCCTCCAATGGGATCGGGGCGGAAGCTGCAGGGATCATCGGTTGCAGGCAGCTTGGCCGGAGTCAGGCTGGACGGTTCAAGCTCTACTTCAGATCTGGACAAATCTGGCCTCGAGTTTAGCGGATCCCATTTGGTGCCTTGAAGGGATCCCCAGAGGCCACTTAGTCTGGAGACACTGCCTCTGCCCCCCCCGGCTCAGTTTTTTCCTCAAACGACTGGCTCCCCCCCCCCAAAAAAAAGCCGTTTGAGGCAAGAAGTGGGGTGGGCGTTTCTGTCGGTCTGGGAGGGACGGGAGGCGCATTCTGTGAACCGCGATGCTCTCCCGAAAGATTCCGGACACAAGAGAGTCCCACCGCCCCGGGCTGAGGCTGGGGCTCTTCTGGCAGGCGGTGAGACGGGGAGGGGCTAAATGGTGAGCGAAGGGAAAACTTCCCAATCGCCTGAGCTGTTTGCGCTTGGGGTTATTATACAGGGGGAACCTGGGAAACCGTCGGCCTAATTATTTATTTTTATTCTTAAAATTAAACGTCTATGCGCCCCATGGACTCTACTATAATTTATAATGATCCTTTGGGCCTGAGCGTCCCTGACCAGGCGAGAATCCGCTCCCTCCTGCGAGCCAGTAACTCTCCAAATCTGCCGTCTGCATTCAGCCCTGGGGATCCGGCCAAACACCCCCCCCCCACCCCGCAGGCTTTGCCCACTGCAGCCCATCCCCGGGCCTCTCACGGAGAGAAGCTTTGGCCCACGAGCTCCTCTGCTGCCTTGGGAGCGGCCGGGCCGTTCGCTTCCTCCCGCGGCGCTTGCCCGAGGTCTCGTCCTTAGCAATAGGAAAGTTCTCCCACGACCCTGGAGCCCCAGCTCTGAGGGGTCTCCCCCCTGCAGCCAGAGCAGGCAAAGGGGCAGCCGGGGGGGGGACCTTCTCTGTCCCCTCTGACTCCGGAGGACGTTCCTTGATGCCCCACCGACCGGCGGAGCTGGGCGGAACCTGCTGGGCCACCCGGCGGCTCTGCCTTGAAGAGCGGTGGGGAGAAGGGCCCAGTCCTAGAGCTGCCTCGGGTCTCTTCGGTGCGCTGGCAAGTTCCGACGGCTCCCGCGCTGCCCGTCCCGCCCGCGGCTTCTTCCACTCCAGCCGGCCCTCCCTCCGCCAACAGACTCTCCGTTTCGGGACTGGAGGAATTGGGCCAGCGCCGCCGCAGAGGACGGCGAGGGAAAGTTAAGAGCAGCCTCGCCCGCCGGCCTCGCTCGCGGTGGGACGATTCGAGGCGCCCTTCGGATTCTGCCCTCAAGCTCCGTCGGAGGTGCGCCCCGACCGCGGCGGCCAGGGGGACTGGCGCCCTCCTAGGAACTGGCGCGGCGCTCTCCTTCCTCGGCCTTTGGGCAACTGCCCCGTCGCGTCTTCTCCGCTTCACCGGGATCTTCCCTCCGGCGTTGGGTCGCCGCCATCCGTTGGCTAGAAATCCCCTTTCGAATGAGCGGAGTCCAGTCTCGCTTTGCGCCGCTCCCGAGCCCTTCGAGAGAGAGGAGGGCTGCTGGATGGCGGCAGCGGGCGGGGAGACTTCTTGGGTTGCAGTTCTAACGCCCTCGACCTGGCGCCCTTCACCTTTCCACCGAAGCGGCCGGACTAGCGCCGGCGCTGGGAGCGTGCGCTGTGGACGGTGGAGATCCAGGGCCGAATTCAGGAGGCGGCAGGCAAATCCGACCGGCAGCAGCGCCCTATGAGCGAGTCCGAACAGCCACGGTTAGGACCGTCCAATTCGAGGCCCAGCTGACCCGACCGGCCTCGAGGACGCTTCCAGGCTGCACCCCCGGTTTCCGATTCCCAGCCCCGGCCGTCCTTGCGCGGG